TTCTCTATACTAGGCACTGCATGGTGGATAGTCCACCTGGAAAAGACCTGGTCTCTGCCCTCCAGGTATTCAGAGTCAAATCTGCAGAACAAGCAGCCTTCTTTAAGCACCTTGGACTTCATATTTTTCTTTCCACTAATATCCTGCCTTCTATACTCTCTTAAGCTCCCACTACGAAGGATCTAGAGCCCATTCACATGAAGGTATAAGGGACTGATAATAGCTTTAAATCTTATAATTCCCAAAAGACATAGTTTAACGACAGCACCTGAAGCTAAGGTGCTAGGCAGTACAATTTCTGGCTGAGCAGACAGGAGTTTGGGCAGAGAAGAGAATACTGTATTCATGTGTATGGTCCTCAAGTCACTGGCACAGAACTGACAGTTCAGTGACATGTCTGAGTCTGGAATGAGATCTTAAGCCATATCATGCCATACCATGTTCCACCTACTACCAATTGGGGATATCAAATCATAATCACAAAGGGCACTGCTGCTATCTTTGCAAGGCCTCTGTGTGCTCATCCCTGGCCATATCTGCAGCCCCTAGAAATCTCCTACCCTTTGGGAAGCCCCAATCCTTCCACCACATCTGCCTAGATCTGCGCTGTCTGCGCTGTCCACCGCCTGCTGGAAATGTCTCTCTCCCAAAATGAGGCCTGCTGTCAGAGTAAAATGCACACTGGATATTGAAGACAGTATGAAACAAAATATGCTATTAAAATTAATTTCACTTGTGGTTTTTTTTTTAATGTGGCTGCTAAAAGCAAACTTGTAGCTCCTATGTTATTTCTTTTAGACAGCATGACTCTGGATGAAGGGCCCAGGCCCTCCCCCAACTCCAAAGGGGCACTACCCCAGAGACTCTCTCCAAGAGGGAGGTGTCCTCCTGGGCTGAGGGTGAGGAGGCAGGGAAGTTGAGGTAGGTTATGGCTTTAGCCAAGGAACTAAAATAGGGGAGGGTTCACAGAACACCTCCAGAGGGAGGGGCCAGAATCAGTCAATCTCTGAGCTCCAAAAAGCCCCAAGGAGCCTCAGAATCCAGCCTCATCATTGTGTCCCATCCAGCCACATCACAAAAACAGGAGGGACAGAATCCACCCTGCCCTGTCCCATCTTCCCTCTCACCTTCCCCTGGCCTCCCCACTCCCCACTTCTCATCTACCCACCCCGTCTGCCCCCTGGGATGCTGAACTTTCCTCTGACCACTGCACCACTTCTTGTCAAACGAGACAATTGCTCCCTGTGCCCACAAATGAAGTCTAGACATCTTAGTCCCATGGACAGGGCCCCATACATTCTTCCCCTGTGGACCACACAACCCTGCCAGTCTGATGGCTAAACAGCCCCACTTTGTCCTATCTTCCAGACTTTATTCCTGCTGCACCCCAGGCTGGAATGCTCTTTTTCTAACAACAGTGTACTGTTCTTCAGGCACCATCCTAAATCCCTCTCCTAGAGAGCACCTGCCTTGAGCCATCGGGCTCTGGACATAGGTTCTGGGTTCCGGCTGGGCCCATTGCCCTCTTCTCATTCCCCTTGCTCCCTCTCCTGGGTTGGGAGCTCTGTGCTGGGCCTTTGCAGTGGCCACCTCCATTCCACCCTGTGGCACATATCTGCCCATTTGAGGATGCACTCAGGGACACAGGCATCTTAGAGTCTTCTGCCCACCCATTCAGGGACTCAACTCTTCCACAAACTGTTAAATTAATATTTCCCAAACACTGGGATCCCAAAAGAGCCCAGCAGAGGATGGCCATGGCAAGTCCTCTGGGACTCAGCATCACCTCGAAGGCCCGGAGACACCCACATACTTAGGGCCCTTCTCTTCCCTCAGCTCCCCACACCTCAGGCAGGCTCCCTGACATAGAGGTGCACACATGCACACTCACACACTCACACTCAAGGTGCTGACGGCTCCCCTTCTCCCAGACTAGGAGTTTTGGTCCCAGGAGCCAAATGGCCCCTCTGAACCCAGTGCCCCCTGGTTGAGCAGCCCATCTTGGCTGTCGGGTTTCCTTCCCTTCCTTTTGCCCAGCCAAAACCTGAACCCAGGTGTCCGGGGAGAAGACTGCCCTTCTATCTTGCTCCCACTGGAGGGGACATGGAATCCTCAGTCCTCCAAGACTAACTACCCTGGCTCCCCGCTGATCCCGCCCGGGCCCCCCGGGGGCGCCCCGCCCCCTCCCCTCGGCAGGAATCTCTTACACTTGGGCTGTGAAGTTGGGGTATTTTTAGGCCGGCGATAAATAATTCATAGGGAACGTGGCATCAGGCTCCCCCCGCGGGAGAAGGGGGCGCAAGTACCGAGAACCACTGTCACCCGCGGCTCAAGGACACTCGCGATGCGGCGGTGGCGGCGGCGGCGGCGACTACTGGCGCGGAGACCCGCGCCACGCCTCCTGGCGGCCAAAGTGGGCACCACGCACTCTCAGAGCCCCTCGCCCCCAGCCTTGCGCTACCCACTGCGGGGTCTCCGGCTCCTGGGGCCCCACGCGGGGCCCCACCCCTACTCCCAGAAGCTGGGTCACGACCTCAAACCCCGCGGTGGGGATGGCACAGCTCGCCTGGCAGGCGGGCTGTGGGTCGGGAATCAATCCAGGCCTGCCCTAGGGCCTGGAGTGAACCCAGGAATCCCGTTTCCAGCCTACCTTCCCCTTCCACGTTCTTATTCTTTGGCGTTTGGGAACAGGCTCAAGGCCACTGGCACGACCAGGAACTAGATGGACTTAGAAACAGCCAGAGAAATGGCACCCTCCCCAAATAAGTTTCTTTCCTTGATTTTTCCGTGGCCTAGGGTAGGGGAATGAGCCAGAACTGCACCACCACCTGAAAGCTGGGGGACTGAGCCAGAAGTCCCGTTAGGCGACTAGGGCTGTGAAACAAGGTGAAGGAATCAGGTGAGCGTCAGGGACTGGCGGGCAGTCCCACCTGCATCATTCAGCGGGACCTCGGAAGGGTGGCAGGATGCATCCCTGGGGATTTTCAGGCTGCTTAGGTGCCTTTGCCTCCCTATGTCCCCGCCCCGCCTGCCTAGGCCGAGGCACGAAATAGGATACTCAGGGTTTCCCTTCCTAGCCGTCGAAGATCCTAGGCGAATCCCCCCAGAGACCAAAGCAGCTGGCTGGCGCGGCAGCCAGCGCCTTCCTTGCCCACCATTCCCTCCCGTCCTCAGAGCCTGGGAGTCGGGTGTCGGTGGGCATTTGGAAAATCCCACCACACCAGGAGTCCACTCTGAGTCCCTGGGGCCACGGAAGGGAGAGTTACGCTGTGGCAGAAGAAAGGAAGGAGAGAGCTGGAGGGGAAGAACCCGGGATTTACGGGAGGTGGAGGGGTCGGGGGCAAAGGCAGGTGCGCAGCAAGTTCTCAGTAACCCTGGGGGAACCAGGAGACCGGGCCGGGAAGCTGCCACAGGCCCCTTTAGTCCTCTCACTCCGTGCCCTCTCCAGCACCCTTCGCTGTGGTTGAAACCAGCTGTGACCCCAGCCCCTAGCCCCGCTCCCCACCCCCTAGCCGGGCTCCCACCCTAAGGTTTCCAGCAGCAACAGTTGGGGAACCCAGCACCCAGGCTCCGCGTCCCTGCGTCGCCCCCTGCCCAGCGATGCCGACTCGCCACGGAAGAAGGAGGGCTCGGCGACCCTGAGGACGAACATCTTGGGCGCTTCGCCGGCGTCCTTCCCTCGCGTCCGCTGAGCGTCTGTCTCCTCGGCCTCTCTACCTCGCCTCCTCTCCCGCCGCC